GATTTATCTAGGTACAACAGAGGATACTTAACATGTAGAACTCTCCGTTTGGCAGTTAACTTTTCCCAATTTTTCTTTCTTAAAAGCGGGCTTTTAAATACATGTATAATGAATTCGAACTGCCAATGGGATTTATTATTAGTAGTAGTAGTAGTGGTAGTAGTGGTATCATAGATAATTGAAGTGAACACAGCTTAGTTTGTGAGTAGAGTGTTAAGCTACCCCCACGTTTGTTGCGGCGTGCATATTACGTGAGTATCTTTGCACGTCTGACGGATTTAGCTTACCACAATTCATCTCTAATCGAGCCGCTGTAAACATGGCGCAGTTGCAACATGATTATACGGATAACTGGTCAATGGAAAACAGTTAACTTGGTAATCAACGCTGAAAATTGATTAATATATTAAAATTTTGTTTGGCTTAAAACATTAACTTGCTACAATTCATTGAATTGAGTGAGTATTCATTGATTGAACTGATTGATTGACTATTGATTGATTGAATATTGGTTGATTGAATATTGATGGATTGATTTGATGATTGATTTATTGATTGATTGAACTGAATATGATTGATTGATTATTGTTTGGCTTAAACATAAACTTACAACAATTTATTGAATTGAGTGAGTATTGATTGATTGAATTGATTAATTGAATTGATTGGTTGAATATTGATTGGATTGAAAATTGATTGATTCATTGATCTGAATATGATTGAATGATTGAATTCCGTATTCTTTTATTGATTGAATATTCATTAGTTGATATGAAAAAATGGTTGATGAATTGAACTGGATATTGATTGATTGAATGAATTCTTATTTGAGTATTGGTTGATTTATTAATTGAATATTGATTTATTGATGAATAATTATTATTCATTATAAATTATTATTTATGAATTATGATTAGGCTAGTGCACTGCAAAATAGGAAAGCAAAGGCTAGTCTTATAGTGTAAAAATTGACATGTGTAGAATTAATGATTGATTGTCTGCTTTGATTGCTTCCAAAAACCAATTTGGTCGGCATCCACTGAACACATGTATAATAAATGATTGATTTGCAACCAGTTGTGGCCATATAATGCCAAAATGTAATATATAAATAATTTGGAAATGGCGACACTTGCTTTTTTTATAGGTAGTCTGTGATAAATCTATTTTAATTTAAACTAATGTGTTACACTACAAGGCAAAAAATACATACAAATACATACAAATTGATATAAATGTATTTACAAACAGTTCAGTATGAGCCTGAAAAACTACTAAATCATCATCATGTGCGACAGAGATTTTTTTTTCATCATCTGTGAACAATTTTATACAAGATAACCCTCATTCTAAGAAATATATTAGCAGGCAAAGATCAGGCTCCTGGGCCATGAAACTTAGAGGAGCTCATTTTTGAACTCAGTTTCACTTTTTCAGCCCAAATTCTATTTGTAAATGTGAGACTGAGATAATTTTTTTTTTTTTTTTTTTTTTTTTTTTTTTTTTTTGCTCCTGAGCATGATTGGATTCTTAAAAATATGAGAAAACATAAATTCATTTTAACTTTCTTAGTTGAAAAACATATTTTGAAAATAATATATAAATAATAAGCAAAAAAGATGGTACAGATTCTTCTGTGAATAACTGTCCTAGGAACAATATCAACATTTCTGATCATTCGTGGAGATACATTAAGAAAAGTATTAATGGACAACGACTTCTTAAATTTTGAGATATTAACTTCGATTTCTCACCGTGACGACGTTAACAAAAGTTGCAACTTGCTGGACGACCACGCTATTGAATCACAAGAAACCTGATTTTAGTTCCATTTAGACTGTAATGTATTTCTGTGTAACTTTGTTGTCCTTAATGCTCACACTTTTAATGTTTAATACAAGTAAATAGAGTTCTAATTTCAGTTTATTCAAATTCTTTTTTTTTTCTCATAAGGTCTGAAGTTTTCGATTTTGCAATTTTCAAAATAACCATGTTTTCACTGGGAGAAATTGTAGATGTATGCCTGTTGTTTGGCAATATTTAAATATATGATTTATTATGGACCATATCGCGTTGAAAGTTATATTATTTTGCGATTGTAATACATCCTACATTTCTATGCGTTGTCGTAATGGAAAGGCAATGTTAATTTTAAAGAATGCATGAAAGGGAGAATAAAAAGGGAAAGATGATCAATTCGGTTAAGGAAAGGGTCTTGTATCGATAAATATTTGTGGTCAGACTCTGTGATATATATCAGTGAGAGAGAGAGAGAGAGAGAGAGAGAGAGAGATCAATATGTCATTGTACAGAATAAGTATGCAAATTATACATGTATATCTAAAGATGCATACCTGTAGAATTCACAGCACTGGAATAATATTGGATTTGGTATTTTAGATAGATGAAGTAATGGGGCAAAAAGATCGGAAATCGTTTATACAAGAGATCTGAATTTCTTTTTGAAATTTTTAAAATTAGTATGAAAAAGAGGTAGGACCAAGAACCTTGGACGAGGAAGCATTCCCTGTAGACTGATCACACATGTCATGACCTCTGTGCATTGGTCTGATAAATTAATTTATACTCAAAATTAGTGTGATAACAGTTGTCTGACTATTAGTATGAAGGATGTCAGTAAAATTGAGACCCAACGATAGATATATATATAGTATTATATAAAACAAGAGTTTTATAACGACTTTAGAATGTGTAAAATGCCTACTTTAAACAAAATATTCATTTAAAGTGCACGTTTTCCGAATTACTCTTTAAAAGCGTATTAATAGAATAGTAAATCTTGTCTCGTCGTTCAGAAATGAGAACATCATTTTGCAAAACTGATAAAGTGCACAAGTACTCTGTCACAAGGAATAAATGGTAATCAAGGTCGCGTTCCAAATCTAACATAACAGATACAACTTGTCAATTATCTAGCATGCCAAAAGCACCAAGTTTTCAATTACAGTGGGTTGGTGTATTTCGCTATCTCATTTTCATAAGAAATGCATTATAAATGTTCACTTCCTATATTATTACATATTTAAACTTGTAATACAACATGAATAATTAGCCTCCCATCTGACTTTATAATGATGACTGTATATGTAATTGCCATATTATAAAATATGACAAACAGAAGTAGCAAAACACGTACGGTTGCAGTAGACTTATTAGTAACAGAAAGGTGTCTTTCATATCTCAGGTTAATGCAGGAATTAGTAACTACATAGTTTTCTAATTATTCATAAATTGGGCAATTTCTACAGCGAAACGCATTACACAAGTGTCGGATTAAATAGGTTTTACTATATGAATAATAATTTAATTAGAACATTTAATTTACTAAGTGAATAATTTTTTTTTATTGTTTTACGAATTACTGGTGAAAAAAGAACCATGGGAAGAGACAACCTAAACGAGCTTTGCCTCATCATTACTAATTAATTTATGTGCATGATTAGTTTAAGAACCTTTTAAATTTCAATTCACATTTTCGTCTTCAGAACTCTTTCAACTCGATTCCAACATACATATTATAGCCTTACGCAGGATGTGTCTTAAAACAAGACTACAAATATTGTTTGGCCATTCTTTACACATTGAAATTTTGGATTTTTTCCGTTTACTCGATCATGACAAAGAGCACACTGCGGGTGTGACCGGTCGACAGGAGATGTTTTATCCTCCATGGCACCTGATCCCGCCTTTGATGTTTTGTGGAGGTCGGTGTTTGTTTTGCTTTCGATTTACATTGTTTGGATGGACTATATAATTATGAGCTTAAATACTTTTCGTTATCTCCATATTTCACTCTAGATTTTGCTGTAAGGGGCAGATGAGTCTAAGTGTGACGGTTTGACGTTCAAAGAGGAGATACTGGATTGTGCCGATATTGTTGATGAAACCCCTAGGCCTGATATGAATAAAAGAGAAGTATTTATATATTTCAGAATTTGCAGATTTTTAAGGATTGTAAATTAATTATATTTCTTATGAATCAATTTTAAATGGGAATTTTTGACACGAATACATAACCTACTTTATAAAACTGATATTTTTTTCTTTATTCTTTAGAGTATTAATTAGAACATGTATCCACGACATTATGTCCCAAGTAAGTGATAAAACTTCAACAATTCACCAAAATCAGAATGTAAAAAAGCTAATAAATAAATTCCTGATTCTAAAGAGGATGTTGCAAAAACTCGCGATTTTTCCCCATATCGAGGACATTAAAACTCCAACGACCCATGAGGAGTGATCTCTAAATATAGATACACTACGTACATGTAGATGACTTTATTCATAATACGGGTCCCTGTTAATGCAAAAACACACAAACATTTTATGTTTATTTTATGTGCATTTTATCGAACATTTCAAGCACTTGGCGATCTACTGAACTCTATTCGACTCATTAATACTGTATATATACATGTAGGTGCTACCGCCTCCAAAAGAGGCAAATAAGACAATGCACCTCGACAGTATTTGGAAAATATTATTTATGTTGTAGACAAATTGGGTATGTAATTCTATTTAAAGAAAAAATTGTATCCCATAACTACATTGCGGATGCTACATCCAAGACATTCATTTGAGATCGGACCATAGTGGAATCGTAAAATACACATATCTTCACTTAACTGTCTATATTAGGCTAATGTGCTTACTTTTGAGCTTAATCTGAAAAGCATTTGACTGTCCTGCATAAAGGCTTGGGTTTAATTACACCCCGGAAGAAGTATAAACTTATCACCAGCATATAATTGTGGTTTTAAATTGTATTACACTTAAAAAAGCCTTAGTTTATGAAAATGTAAACAGCTAGTCCTATTCCTATATGCATTGGGAAAAGAAAGAAAAATCATTTCAATTCCAAAAGTATTTCAGCAGATTTGTGATGATAAAAAAACACTTCATCTTTGTGACACATCTATTTATTTATAGGGCAGATGCCTCATATTTAAACAAAGCATGCGAACCATACTGTCAAAGTAATATCGAAATGAAGTCAGTCTAATTTATTCCTAGGTAACTTCTTAAGCAATCTCTGTCACTACAACAGAAGATTTCCGCATCCGATAGAACATTCTTCATGAAACTGCAGTCTTCTTTCTGTCAAAAACACAGCATTTTAATACTAAGTAAGTGCTCCATTGTTAGCATTATGATGTTTTATTTAATAGATTTATATCAATACTGTCTTTATTTTGTGGATTCGCAGTTAAGATTTTTTTATCTGCTATTTTGTAGGTATCGATAAAATGTAAATCTCCATAGATAACATACATAGAAACACTCTTTGTGCCATGCAGTTCCCGATTTATTCTACACAAAATTATCCTGAATAAATTAGATAAATAACTACCAACATGGTAGAGGTTAATTTACACGTCACCTAGCACAATGAAATTACACACATACCAAATGAATAAACAATGTATGTCAAAGCCTTAACTAAGTTGAGTGTTTTTTGTTTTTTTTTTAAATTTAAGATATGGCTGATTGGTTCATCAAATATCATGCTGAAGAAGTTTAAATATTAAATTTTACGTAGATAAACGTATAACATATTACTCTTATACAATGCGTGGTAAACTTAGTTCCTGGATATTGTCGTATCATACAAATCTCTTCCGGATAACATGTCTGGTTCCATACACAGTTTAATTCTTCATCGCATGTGGGACACTGAAAACCTATAATATCAAAAAAAAAAAAAATGTCTGCAAACTCTTTTTCCGATTTAATAGGGAAAAAAAAACAGATGAAAACTGGACAAAATATGATCAGAACAAGGTAAAAAGGTAACATTTTGTTTTAGCTAAGGCTTCCAAATGCCAAATGCACAAGATAAAAAATTTATTTCTCAGGAAATAAGAAAAGAATATATATATATATATATATATATATATATATATATATATATATATATATATATATATATATATATATATATATATATATATATATAGTCTTCAGAGTCTTGGTAAAGAACAAGATTTTATTTTTAAAAATATGAACTGGGATATTATATATATATGACGCGTTTTTGCTCTTGTGTTGAATGGAAAAGCAAACAGTAATCGATGTAGATTTGTTTTCATGTGTCAACAATTTCTTTGATGCAAATGTTACAATGTACCTGTTAATTTGGACCACTGTGTAAGATTTCACAACTATAGATTTGATATTGTGTACAATCTTCAATTAAATTTTGATTTTTTTTTTAAATGTAAGATGTTATTGAAGCTTTTAAGTATTTTTTATTCAATTGTTTTGTGAAAAATAGTATCAGTTTCTTAAATACTTAATTGCTAGATATTTTTAAAAACGGTCGCTGCTAGCTAAGAAGCTTTGCTCTCTCTACTTTTAGTACTTGGGTTTTACCATCTGTTGTTGTTGCTGCTGCTGCTGTCGTTAAGCTTATTGTTGTTACTGACGTTGTTCTTGTCGTTGTTTCTAAATGTCAATAGAAAGAGAAATTTGCTGATACAACTGGAAACTAACACCAAATTCTTCTAGAACAATGCTTTATTTTTTTTTCATTTCACACTTATGTGTGCAAAAGAGGATTACTAATAAGCTGTTGGTTCTGTAAAAATGATGCATCCTACATATTGAAAATATTAATTGATTTCAAAGCGATAAAAACATCTTAAAAAATCTTTATCCTACAGAATGATGACACCATTAATTGTCATATTGTTTTCTGTATATCGTAAAAAAATTCTCCTAACTGGGTATGAAATGATAATGAATTTGAAAAAAAAAGACCAATACTAACTTAAAGATTTAGTTCTAATCACTGTGAAGAAGGTCAACCTATCACGGAGTCTAAAAATACGTAAAATATGGTAGTGTTCTGTCAAATTTTTGACATCAAGTAGTCATATCCCGTAAATATTTTTTGCGGTATAATATGACCGCAGAATTAAAATCTCAAAAATTAATTGGTTACCTTTTAAAGGTCAGATCGCCAAAAAATTCAACCGCAGAAAATACCAAATATACGATAATTCTCACTGCTTCTTAACCGTCACTTTAGTCTAATAGTAGGACATTCGCTTTGTGATCCGGAGGCCCGGGTTAAATTCTTGCTAGCCGCACCGAGTCAAACCTAAGACTTAAACATAGGTAGTAACTGTTCCTTCGCTAATCAATTTCATAAGTGAAAGTCACAGGTCTTTAGGATGAGACCTTAAAAACCAGGGTCTCCTTTCACGGTAGGCGTTGGCACGATAAAGAACTTTCACTGCTCAATGGCGCTCAATACCGAGAAAGGATCTAAATATATCCCTTCACCGGAATGTGGTGACTTCTGTACAAGAGTGAAAAATTTTCGAATCGGACGTAAACAACATTCAATCAAACAACCAATAATCCAATTTCATTGTGTTTGTTAAGACTTTCATTGAGTACAAGTTAAAGTCAACAGCCCGAAGTTATGACAAAGTAAATATTAGAGCGATAAAAATAAAACCTAGGATTGCTTATTTATAACAAATTAAGGGGGCATCAAATGTTTTTGGAAAAAGTTTGAAAAATGCCATTTGGAAGCATATTTAATGTATGAAGCAATCTTGCAAATTCAGCTGTAAGTTATATTCACATATGGGAAGCGAAGTTAGTCAAATAACGATCAATCGTTTGAAATAAAATGTAGATAATGATGAGTTCAGAACATTTTCATCACATGTATGAATTTGATCAAGATTTTTGGATTTTTCAGCGTGTTCAGCGAGAGGTATAAAATAAAAATAAAATATTAATAAAAAAAAAAACACTGAAGGACTGGCCAAGAAATATGTGAGCAATGGCGACGTTTTGTCATTTAAATTGTACATGGTATACACATTTTATACCATAATATCTGTTATATGAATCCAATTCAAAAAGTTTGATTTTAAATATTTGAGCTGAAATGTTATTAACTGTATTATTAAGTCTTTGGATATAAACTGTTAATTTTTTCATGATTGATTGATTGATTCTATATTGTTTTACGTCCCATTCGAGAATTTTTCACTCATATAGAGACGTCACCATATACCGGTGAAGGGCTTCAAATTTTGACCTTTACTCGGCACTCAGGGCCATTGATCAGTGAGGGATCTTTATCGTGCCAACGCCTGCCGTGACACGGGGCCTCGGTTTTTAAGGTCTCATCCGAAGGACCCGCAACTTTCACTTCAAAATGCCGAGCGCATGGCGAAGGAACAGTTGCTACCTATTTTTTATCGACTTAGGTCTGTCGCGGCCGAGATTCGAACTAACGACCTCCCGATCACGGAGCGAGCGCTCTACCGACTGAGCTACCGTGAACGGTCAATTTTTTTCATTACAAAAGTCAAAACTTAAAAACTTTTCAACATGAAGCGATGTGTAACTAAAACTGTCCATATAGTTTCTTGATGTCGTAGATATCGGTAATTAGATGTATAGTGAAAATACCACCAAAAAACACAGATCTGAAATACCCAAAAAGCGACATTGTCCATCTGAACAGAACAGTGGGCAATCCTAAAATGCCGTCGGATACGAAGTGAATAATAGAATTACATGTATAAGAGGAATTATTGGAACATTTCAAGCTCATTGTATTAGGTGTGTTATAAATGGATTTTTGATGGTGTGAACAATTTGAGAGACGCTGCAAGAAATGGAATATCATTTTTGTAATTGAACTGAGAATTCATGACGAATTTGCATATCCACCATATTTAAACATTTCCATGATTTAACCAATGTAAACATGCTTTGAAATTTGTATTGAAACAATGTCATGAATATGAAATGCGTTTTAAATATGTAGTTAAAACTGAAAGTAAATACCTATTAAATACTTAGAGTAATTATGTAGTACCTGCGATTTCGTCACACACGCAGCTGTGTGAATTTTGTAAAAAATCAAAGTGACATCTGCCAGCCGAACTTTGAGGACAAATACAATGCTTGTGTTCCGTGCAAACTAAAACAAACAAACAAATACCGACAACGAAAACTTCTCATAAAACATGTTTATGAAGAAAAAAAAAAGATTTTGAGATTTTCCAGCATTTTTGTCAGAATTGATCAGTAAAAATGGACAATAAGTTTTAAATTAGTGTTCACAATTTGGAGTTCTGGACAAAAAGATCTTTCCTTCCTGATAATGACTCTTTAAAGTCAATCAAAAGTCCAGATTTATATTCCTTATTTTCTGTATTATTGTTTAAAACAGCAATTACATGTAACTGTCGAATAATATTTCACTTACAAAATGATTTTAAACCATCTCCTATTTCTGAAAGTATTTTGTGTGAACTAAAGCTGTATTTGTTGACTTTGTTGAATTTCGGTGCCAAGGCAATATTATCAGCTAATTACTTTATACTGTCATATTTCTCCACAAGAGAAGATTTAAACAAATAGTTTGTTCATAAACTTTAAAAAACTTTTATTCAAATTACTAGTCTTGGATGTTTTGAAAGGCATAAAAGGGAACGGTGAACAATTTTTCTGATTTGTATCTCAAATGGTTAACCTACTCTTATGAGGAATATAATTATTAAATACTGTCAATTCAGGTATTTTGAAAAAAAGAATACATTTACCTGTGCATTGACATGTTGAAGAATGTTTATCAATATTGCAGTAAGGATGTTTATGAGAGGGGCAGACGTGGTCACTACAGTCAGTATGATAATGACATGTTGAAAGTGTTGTAGGAATCTCTTCGGTTGCGATTGATGCGGTTGGCGTACCCACTGGCTTGCGAAAATAAGCTGAATTAACAAATTTGATAAGGATGTTTAAATCTTAACTTAAAGAAAAAAGTATTTTATAAAATAAACATGTCTCTTTTTTTTCAATTTCAGTGAATCGCTGAATTGCTCATCTTAATTTTTTCTTTAAAATATTCTGATAACAAAATATACATACATGAATTCGTAAAATAAAAGTTGTTTTAAGGGGCATAGACACGTGTTTACATCCTTTAAAATTCTCGATAGAATTTCATGACCTCCATGTTGTTAGAGAGTTTCAGCAAGTGTGTCTATGTCCCTTTAAGGATGACGTTCACTCAAACGACGAAAAAAAAATCCACTGATAGAAATGAAAAACGATCTATTGTACATTTTAGACCTATGATTGTAGTGTTGTTTTTCACTTTCAAATAACTAAGTTATGACTGAAATGCGTTCTGTCTGCGTTTCTTCATCCGTTTGACATCCGTTGGAGCTATCCGGTAAGGTGTGACTGAACCCGTACGCTATGAGCAATGTTTTCTTTATTAACAAAGTATAACAAGTAACAAAAGTTTCTGGACAATGAAATACAATGAAAGTGTGGTTTTTAAAGCATAGAATCCAATTTTTTCTTCACACGGATTGAGATGAAACTAAAACTATAGGACAGCAAGTCACTCAAATGTTTTCATATACATTCATTTGCTGTCATTTTGTGTGGTTTCCCCTATGTTGGTTACCAATTTTCAGATTTTCTTCGGATGGTAAAAAAAACCCAAGAATTTTGCCTGATAAAAGTAAAAATGATCTCGCAGTCGAATAAAATCGCCTATACGATTGTTCTGAGTTGCAATGCCTACCCAACATTTTTACATCACACAAGTGCATGTACGTGAAGATATTTTCATCTTGGTACAAAGGATTTGATGTGAATAAAATGTGAATCTTAGTATTTTATTAACATGTGGTGATAAAAATACCACAAAAATGGCCTTGACGTGACATCATATTTGACGTCGTCAAAGGGGAGTAACCAGAATTTTATGATTCTGTAAATTCTTCGAGTTGTCTTTCAAGGAAACGAGGGAATTTTGTTAATAATTCATAGCTCTATAGAAAATTTCGAAATATTTAATTTCAATCATTGTATCCTGGTATTTATTCTTTTAGTTTTGTTTTTCACTAGTAAATTCATTTCACCATGCATCGGACACAAATTAACCATGCATCGGACGTTGTCCATTGTGGATAATTTACTTCCTTTGTCGTATAGAGATACGTGTATAATACCCATATGACAGTTCCTTTTGCAGAAATGAAAAAAATAACTCAATACATTCAGTGTAAATACAATATATCGAAAACTAAAAATGGGCTCTTCTGTATTAATTATATCTTCACACTAGAATACAATAGCTTCCGAGAGCAAGGCGGAAGTTGCCATATGACGAGGCATGGAAGGGCCTTTCTAAGGCAATGTAATGCGACCATAATCTCTCCACATTTGCGAATCGATAAAGTCAATCAAATTAAAATAGGGAGTTGATTTTTAAATGAAGCTTAAAAATTTCCTGTCTGTAATTTATAAGGGTTTCAGATCTTTTAAAGGCCACTGCGATAAAGGAAATTAAAGAGATTATCCGGTTTAGTATATTGTTTGTACGATGCAGTGGTGAATATTGTCCGATCTATGGTGAATTCTGGCTCATTAAAATCGTTTTTAATGATATTTTCTCAATAAATAGCATTAAACTGTCTCAAATTCATATTTTCATCACGAAATACATGTTAAGCTCCATTTCGATACATTCGGTTGTTAGCAATATCGCTTATATTTGTTGCAAGTACGAGGGTGCCCGATGCATGGTGAACTAACCCTAACTATAAAATTAAATTATTATCAAGTTATTCACATTTATAGATATTATTTACCTTCAGTCGTCGAGGCTAAAAGAAAATATATTAGAAGAATTCGATTACTGTATACACATACACAAATACTGTACATGTATATACTGTATAAACAATATACACATTTGTGAAAAGGGTGAAGATAACGAACAGTGATCGATCTGTGAACAGGGCATAAGACACGGACTCCTGGTCATTTCAGAGATGGCATAGATGCCTAGGAGAAGAAAGCATCCCCTGTCGACCGGTCACATCCGCCCTAAGCCCTAATATCGATCAGATAGATGGCATTTTCCGTAGTCAAATTTAATATAAAAGCCAAGGCCTAGCAATTTGTATGAAAAACGTCATCCAAAATACGACTAAACGATAGATCACATTTGCTTAGCAAAATTGCATTTCAAAACATGATAACCAGAATATTTCTAAAGAAATGTATAAAAAAAAAAAAGAGGAGAAATTAAAGAAAATATAAAAAATTAATTGTCATTTTGGTTATTATTTTATAGTTTCAGTAACTTCGTTCTTTTAATGTCGTTTAATTAAATCTACAATACTTTGAAGTTATTCTCTTTTTAGGAATTATTTACCTGTAGTCGTCGGAGCTAAAAGAAAATATAGTATTGGAAGAATTTGATAACAGTATCATATAAACAGAATATAAATTTATCTTAGAAGAATTGAATTAAAAACATGATTAACATGCAGAATTAAAAACAGAAGAGACCAAAATTTTTAAATTTCCTTTCATTTATTTTTTTCTACTTTTATTCACTTTATGTTTTTAATGTCATTCATATTTTTCCTTACATATTAATTTTTTTCTTTTATTGAAACATTTACCTTCAGTCGTCGTAGCTTAAAGAAATTAATAGAGGAATATGATAAACAATATCAAATCAACAGTATATATATATCTATCTTAACAAAATTTCATTTGAAAACATGATTAGCGGAATAATTCTTTCTAGAGCAAATAAAAATTTAAATCAAAATAGAAAAAAAAGAATATACCAAAATTTAAAGAGATTTATTTCGATTTATGCTATTTAATGTTAGTTACTTAATCTTTTTAATGTCGTATCTATAGCTAAATATGTAATATTAGGAAGTTATTCAAATTTTTAAAAATGATATACCTGTAGTCGTCGGAGCTACAAGAAAATATGTTAGAAGAATTAGATAACCACATCATATAAACAGCATATAGACATGTACAGGTTTCCTAGCAAAATTGCATTTCAAAACATTACTAACATAATATTTGTATAAAGAGTAGAATTAAAAACAGAAGAAACCAAAATTTAAAATTCATTTATTTATTATTTAATCATTTAACTCTATCTTTTTGATGCCATTTATATTTTCCACAGATTATGAATTTTTTTTACTGATAATATATTATATACCTTGAGTCGTCTTAGCTAAAAGAAATAAATAGAATATGATAAACGATATCAAATCAACAGAACATGCATATACCATTATCTTAAAGGGGCCTTGACACAGTTGCACTGTCTACAATTTTAAATGTCTAATTTTTTTTATTTCAAAAAGGACACAGTTGCACTGTCTACAATTTTAAATGTCTATTTTTCATTTCAAAAATTATCCTCAGTTAAAGATTTGAACTTACAAGAGTATTCTAAGAATTCAATGACAACGACATCGCACTAAGCACCTGTGTTTGTGAACAGGGCACGAGCTCTGTTATTGTTAGTGTTAACGTTTTATTGGATGTGTTCAATTTGTTTTAGTCTGCACACACCACTGAGCACGAACTGATTGATTGTATTTTGTTTTACATCCCGTTCGAGAATTTTTCACTCATATAGAGACGTCACTATATACCGGTGAAAGGCTTCAAATTTAGACCTTTACTAGGCACTCACAGCCATTGAGCAGTGAGGGTCTTTATCGTGCCAACGCCTACCGTGACACGAGGTCTCGGTTTTTCAGGTCTCATCCGAAGGACACGCAACTTCAAATTGCCGAGTGCTTGGCAATGGAACAGTTGCTACCTATTTTTGAACGATTTAGCTCAGTCGCGGCCGTGATTCGAACACAAGACCTTCCGATCACGGAGCGAGAGCACGGATTGACAATACTGGTGAATTTGTTCTGCTTTTCGCATTTTTAATCTGAACTTTCTGGATTATAGTTTTAATATTTTTTATTAATACACAACAAAACTTCTACTTTTCTTAAGTATTATGAATAAAGTCTACCTTGTGAAAGTGCAAGGATATGTGTCAATCAAAAACCTCCCAAAAATCGTAGTTTTAATAATTTGCAGATAAAAGAATTTTTCAACATTTACAGTTGAAAATGCTCTGGCATTATATAAGTTATGATATTATTTAGAAAGTTTTAGCTTCAAAATTCTGTCTGAGCCCCTTTAACAAAGTATCATTTAAAAACATGATTAGCAGAATACTTTTTTCTAAAGCAAATAAAAATTGAAATTAAACTACAAAAAAACTGTGGAATCATTAGATTTCGTGGTGTCTCAGTTTTCGTGAAATTCGTGAGTTCCTTTTCTTCGCGAGTTAACAGTCGCCCGCGTGGCGCAGTGGTTAGAGCGTTCGCTCTAGAGTCGCGGAGTAAGGAGTTAATCCTTACGAATCCCACTGTTGGACGTGGAGACCGGTCCTTCGGTTGAGACCGTATAAACTGAGGTCCCGTGTTGCAGTAGGTGCTGGCACGAAAAAGATCCCTCACTGCTCAATGGCCCTAAGTGCCGAGTATAGGTCAAAATTTGTAGCTCTCCACCGGCAAGTTGTGGCGTCTCCATACGAGTGAAAAAATCTCGAGAGGGACGTTAAACAATAAACAAACAAAAAAAAAAAAAAACGAGTTAACATCCTCCACGAACTAATGAACTACGGTTACAAAGTTATATTTCCTTTTTTGGGTATAAAGAGAATACACGAAATGTGTCCCCAAAAACCTGTAATATTTCTGCAATCCACGAAAATTGGCCCCTACGAATTTATATGATTCCACAATACATCAAAATTCAAGGGCGATTCATTTGGTTAATTATTTTTTGTTATAGCTTTTTTTATTGTCCTAAAGCTAAATTTATAATTTTATGAAGTTATTCACATTTTTAGGAATTATATACCTGTAGTCGTCGGAACTAAAAGAAAATATGTTAGAAGTATTAGAAAACAATATCATATAAACAGTATATATATACACGTATCTTAGCAAAACTGCATTTCAAAACATGATTAACTTAATATTTGTTTCAAGAGCAGAATTAACAACAGAAGAAACCAATATTTAACATTCCTTTGATTTATTATTTCTAGTTTTATTAAATTTATCTTTTTGGCATCATTTATTTTTTTCACATATTATGATTTTTTCCCAGTAATGAATTAAATACCTTGAGTTGTCTTAGCTGAAAGAAAGTAATAAAAGAATATAATAAACGATATGAAATCAACAGTACATGCATATAGCAGTATCTTAACAAAATTTCATTTAAAAACATGATTAGCAGAATACTTTTTCTAAAGGAAAGAAAAATTGAAATTCAACTAGATGAAAGAAAAGTACATCAAAATTTAATGGTGATTTATGTGGTTTATTATTTTTTTAATAGCTTTTTTTAATGTCTCATAGCTCAGTTTATAATATTATGAAGTTATTTATATTTTTAGAAATTATATACCTGTAGTCGTCGGAGCTAAAAGAAAATAAATTAAAAGGATTAGATGACAATATCATATTAACAGCGTATATACTTATCTTAGCAAAATTGAATTTTAAAATATTATTAGCATAATATTTGTGTAAAGAGCAGAATTAAAAACAGAAGAAACCAAAATTTAACATTCCTTTCATTTATTATTTTTTTGGATCTGATTTATCTTTTTGATGCCAATTATATTTTTCACGTGTGACTTTTTTCTGATAATGAATTAAATACCTTGAGTCGTCTTAGC